CCCAGTAGCCACGATCAGATCCACTTTGTTTCTGCCGCAGCTCCAGTAGCCATGATCAGATCCACATCCGACAATTCCAGTGATAGTAGGTTCCTACCAACCCAGTCTCACGGCATTTTGTGTTCACCAACACGATTTTTAATCTATTGATTCGTGTTCACCAACACGATTTGCCCCTTTTTTTCGTGTTGCACAGCACGATTTTAAAAGCAATGTATTTCTACTGCCTGCAGCACGTCTTTTTCTCCGGTCGGGTCGTGGGAGACAGGAAGCTGTGTGGTTCATAAAAACATGTTCTTACTCAATATCAAGCCACAATTATTGCTTTTATTTTAAATCGTATAATTTCGGACGTTTGTTGCCGTCTGTGAGGAAAATAAATGGGGCTCAGAGCCTCAGAATACGGAAATCTGTATTTTTTAATATTTTTTTCCTTCTAATTCGTTATTCTTTTCAAAATAACACTGTTATTTACTCACCAATAACACACAATTATCCTTGCTTTTATTTATTGGTTTAATTCCATAATCTCTGGCTTTTTTGGCGTCCGTCAGGAACTGAATTTCAAAATAAAAATAACCGGAAAAAAGACGTAGAAGGGACATTTCGAAGCATCATTGCGATTGTCAACATTTCTGAGTTTAGGATGGCCGAAGACACTACACTACCCAAAATCCCCAGCTATCGTTTAGGACTACAGTCCCCGTAAGGTTACGCAGAGCGTCAAACAGCTGTGTGAAATGGAACGAAACCACGCCAGACTATCCAAAACTGGAATCGAACGCCCCCCCAGAACTACACATGCTGGCTATTGTGTTTCGCAAAATGTTCTATGGGACGTCTCAACTGAACGTTTTCGTTTTTCCCACAATTAGAAGTTGCCAGTATTAAACACATTGATGTTATCAAATGTAAAACATATAATTAATAAATGGGTGAAAATCGCTTGTGTCCATAATGCGCAGGATTAATACCCACATGACAGCTCATTGTTACTTTGTAATTCTACTCCACTACAATTCAGAGGTTAACCTGGTATTTTTACTCCACTACATTTATTTGAGTTACTTTGCAGATTCTGATTAATTATGTGAAATATAAACAACCCTTAAATCAGACTTTAGTTACACCTGAGTAAAATTCAGGTAAGGTGATTGTCAAGTGCCAACAATCAGGAGAGATATTTGATAGTTGGTGCTTGAGAAGACTAAACATGTATCTGCAATTGACATGAATGGAAACGAGTAATAAAGTATATTCATTACTCGTTATTCTCTACTAAGAGTTAATTAAAGACTGTATATTATGGCTATTTTGCACATCACTTTCAAGATTTCCAAAGGTTTATTGACATATCATATACACAACTACGGTGTAGTTATGCAATGAATGAAACACTTGGGTCACAGGTTCCTCAACAGTGCATTACAAGACATCTATCAATATGTGTGTACCTCCACCATTAAACTGTCATATTCTGCACATTTCTTATTCTATCTACATAAGAGTATAATTCATATGTATAATATCAGTTAAAATAAGTGCTTCAACATAGTTAACATTGCAGGAAAGCAATATATTAGACGTTAAGTACTTTGTCAGGCTTAATATTTATCTGTAGATAGATACCCCCAAAGTTTTTTTCTTATTTAAAAGAAGAACTTAATCTGTCATTTAATGTTTAAATACAGATTAATTCGTTTTTCTGTTTTGCACCTCCTCCTATTAATATCTTTGTACATTCTGCACTAAACTGTTTTATTGTAGAGATCACTTAGAGTATCTTCTTGATTTTTTATTATATTCTATATTTATACTTTCCTCCTATGAAAGTATGTACTCTTAATATTTTTTTAATCAAATAAAACACAATAATTCAATAACGTGCTTTAACCACTAGGAGGTGCACACAAGGTACACACAGCCATAATAACTTTGTATTATTAGTGTATAGACACTTATGTTTTCGTACAACATCTGAAGATGTGTAGTTTTATGCATGCTTTCACATCATTTTACAGCATATTGCTATACTATTTCAGACTCAGTATTTACATTCTTACATTCAAAGAAAATCAGTAATATCTTTAAAAACTACAGTCCTTTTATATCAGCTGTGCATCGTTATGGTTTAAATATAACCTATCTGTGAATTAGATCAAATGTAAAAGTCAGCCGAATTAGTGTTGATACTGCAAGGAGACGTATTGTGTGAAGAGAAATTGAAGATGTTGTTTAATTGTTGAATATATTTATGATCCACGTCAAGTATTCAGTTTCGGCGGCATTTTCTCAGTTTTTCCAAAGGTCTTCTCATCAGGGCTCTATAAATAAAGAACTACGGCAGATCTGTAATATACAATGCAGCCGAACCGTGTATTACAATGCTGTTATGTGATGACTTTCAAAGAGAAAAGCAAGAGCGCTCGGAATTAAGTATTATTTTATTCTTTTAAAATGTTTTCCGGATTTCATATCATATAAACACCAAATCCCAGCATGCATTGCGGCTTAAAACATCCAATACGCGATCTTAAAACCATAGCTGAGGAATCTTGGGTAATCGCTCGAAATGCCTACGTCTGTTTCCGGTTATTTTTATTTTGAAATTCAGTTCCTGACGGACGCCAAAAAAGCCCGAGATTATGGAATTAAACCAATAAATAAAAGCAAGGATAATTGTGTGTTATTGGTGAGTAAATAACAGTGTGTTATTGGTGAGTAAATAACAGTGTGTTATTTTGAAAAGAATAACAAATTAGAAGGAAAAAAAGATTTAAAAAATACAGATTTCAGTATCCTGAGGCTCTGAGCCCCATTTATTTTCCTCACAGACGGCAACAAAAGTAAAAAATTATACGATTTCAAATAAAAGCAATAATTGTGGCTTGATATTGAGTAAGAACATGTTTTTATGAACCACAAATCTTCCGGTCTTCCTCAACCCGACGGAGAAAAAGACGTGCTGCAGGCAGTAAGATAGAAATACATTGCTTTTTTAAAATCGTGCTGTGCAACACGAAAAAAAGGGGCAAATCGTGTTGGTGAACACGAATCAATAGATTCTAATCGTGTTGGTGAACACGAAATGCCGTGAGACTGGGTTGTTCCTACACGCGAGTAATCCTCACAACGTAGTCGTTAGTTTTTGACTTAATGTAGTGCCCAATTGTCCAAAGAAAATTAATGCTCAAAGGCCACTTAGTCTAGGAGCTCGAGTATTGACTCGCGTATATTCAAGAAATCAGATACCTTGCTTGTTCCATTCAGGTGCTTTATTGAAAGGTTCAATCAGCTGGCGGCCCACTGCCGACGTGCAACGTTTGCACGGTATTTAAACAAATAAACAAACAAGATCCCTCGGTCATACGGATGTGTGCGGTCAAAAACTTTTTCCAACTTCCTCTCTAGACTTCCTGCTGTGTCATGCTGGCAGCGTCATTTATACCTGAGCACGCTCCTACGATTGCTTTTTATAAATAATAACAAAACGTAAACTAGAGCTGTCCATAAGCAAGATAACACGTTACAAAACAGTAAAATAATAATTCATAATTATTCAGCTCATTTAAGTTAAATTAAAGAATATTCAATTGGCTCACAAAACCATAATTCATTACCATAAAATAATGTGCCTAAATGGCTCTTACACTAATGTTATAATAGTCAGATTGCTCTGAAGATGGGAGGTGATATTCTAATAATGTTCATGTTCACACAGTCAGTTGATTTTTGCCGGCCGTCTTTCCTGCGACGGCAGTTTTTCCTTTCTCCTGTAATATGACTTGATAGCCTTAAACTCCGCACACTGAGCTCTGATTGGTCAGCAGGCGGTGCTTTCACTGAGTTGATCTCTTAGGTTTGCCGTTCCGCATAAGTTAACATGGAGATAATAAGACAACCAGCGTCGTAGGACCGGAAACCCAGAGTTTTCCCTGAAGTTAGCGAAAATTCGGCTTCGTAGTACAGGCCTCTGATTTATTGTTCTGTTTTTATTTGTGATGTTTGCCATGTTGTTAAAGCACTTGGAGTTGGTGTAGGAAAAGTGCTTTATTATTATTATTATCAGGAACTGTACTTGATCATTTCATGATAAAAGAAGGTTAGGGTTGTTTTATAGCTACAAACTGAAAGAGGATGTTGCCTGTCCAGCAATTGTGACACTAATGTGTTTTCTTTTTATTACTAAGCAACTGTATTTATAGAACAAACAGTGTTGAAACTACCAGTCAACTTGACTCAAATCGATCAACTTGTTTACAGCGATATAGGTACACAAATTACTCAATATCAATCTGAATCCATAAGCACCCTAATAATGCCTGTGTGGATAACGGATGATGCTGTGTTACGTATGAAAAACATCCCACCTTGCGTTTACACTCTTTCTCTTGTCACTTATTTGAAGCGTACAAGTGACAGAGGGGACTCTGAGAGGCTGCCTACATTTGGAGATGAATGTTTTCTGCTTCTGCACACAGGCTGATCTGTCTTGCCTCAGCCCCTCTTATATCATGGCACGTGCCCCGGGGATTTCTCTACCGAGCAGGCGTTCTATATTTAGAGCCTGATTTATACACAAACACACATACCGCTGGGGAAGGTGCAATGAGTGTTCTTTTACCCAGCCGCAATTGCCAGAAATATAATCATCTCCCCACATTTCAATGTGCCTTTAAGGATAGCATTGAGAAACACTGAGAGGAACAAAAATCTCATGAAAGCAAATGGTAATTTTAAAGGCATCAGGCAATGGAAACACAGGCAGATGGGTAGTTTAAAATATTCCAAACGTGGTCATTTCAATCAATTAAACAAGGAGGGTTTACATTTAAATTGCAATTATAATCTCCTGTCTTTTCCCGAACTCAGCATGTTGTGTAACATTTGCTTTTCAAGCCCCTGTAAATTCTATGAATTCTAGAGATCCGCTTGGTATATAAATTCTTTGTCGGTTTTTTTCCTACCTCTTTTTATTTCTTTCTCTGTCTTTCTCTCAGGTTGTTAGAGAGCTCGATGCTCAACGCAGAAATGAAGGAAGGAGAGATTCTGCCTCCCACCATTCATAAGCTGATGAAAGGATACAACAAGTACCTCAGGCCCTTCTTTGACAGTAAGGAAACTGCAGACACGCAGAGAGTGAATGACTGAACACTCAGGGGAAATGTGCGGTAGACAGAGAACAAGAACAGTTCATATTGCAATTTTTGGCCTGTGCATCCCTTTGAGAAATATACACTGACATACTTAACTTAGCTGCATATGTATGGTGTAATGAGATGTCAGAACTCATTTTGAATGTACGTTTTGATCATAGACTGTACATATAAATGGACGCAGTGTCCATGACGTCACCCATAGGATTCTGCAGAGTTGCAGAGAAGCCCTTAGTAGGCGGAGTCGGCCACTAACGTCTCAACAATGACGTCAGAGTCGAACTCCCGCCTTCTCCAGCCTGATCCAAATAAGGGCAAAGAGGCGGAGCCGAGGCGGGACCTGCTGCCACCGAGCTGGAAGTTCAAGAGCTAGCTCAAGCTAAGAAGCTAAGCTAACATGAAATACATGCATACCAAGTTACTGCGTGGCACTTTGGTTTTGATAAAACAGTGCAGTTCCACTATATAAACGTTACATTCATAATCAAACGAGACAATCTGCAAGAGAATTAGCTATTTTTTGTTATTCTTAATGCTTGTCATTCACACGTTAATAAAATAAAAATAAGTATCGATACATAGCAGAACAATTGTGGCAATGTTCAGCTTAATAAGCCTTGCTCAACATAATTTATTTAGCTAATACTATAGCGGGCTGCAGGCGAACCAAGTCCGCGTTTCGCTGCATTCCTTGATCTCCACCGCCTGGAGCTAACGGAGCCGCAGGGGGCTAGCTCCAGCCGGCGTCCCGGCGGCCACCACTGGGATAATTGGGTCCCCTTTTAACATTTGCTCCCGTTTAGCATTATGGGCGTCATATCCATAGACTATAAAAGTCTTCCCCAAGGCTGAATAATAAACTAAACTGTATATGTCAGTGTTTCCCACAGATCTGAAATATACTTGGGGGGGTGGTGGTAGCGGGGGGAGGGGTTGAGGTGACGTGCAACGACATTGACATTAACCTTTCTGTTGGTCGCTTGTTAGCAGACCCTTCACGCGATTTCAGAGCGAACAGGTACAGGTAGGGCCCATAGTGATAGCCCTATAGTTTAAATCTACTACCCACAAATAAACATATGGACATTGGTTACTATTTTAAAAAAATGGTAAATGTATTTAGGAACCTATCAATGTGATTTTAAGTGGGGGTGGACCTCAAATCCTCTAGGGGGGTCCGGGGGCATGCTTCTTTTTATTTTGGAGTTAAATGCATCAATCTGGTGCATTTTGAGGGGCAAATAAAGAGACTAGATCTATGTGAACCCCTATATGAAACATAACTGTATACATTTCAATAATCATACAATCATGGCCATAACCAATAACATACCATATCCAATATGAAAAACACTGAAACTTGTTTATTTATTTATTTTTGGTTCATTTATAGTTGTGAGTGTGTCTGTGATCCTCTCCTGTCTCCCTCCTCTCCCCCCTGCTCCTCTTTGAGGCAGAAGCAAAGACTAGTTTTAGCTCTCAACAAGTTTTAAAAGTGTATCTTACCTTTTTTCCCCTAGTTAACTTTTTATTCATGCATATTTGACTAATCACTACCCCCTCAAAGGGAAATATGTGTTTACATAAATGGTGACCAAACTGTTTGAGACCCACTGAGAACTTAGACAAAGTTAACTATCTAAACAGTCTAAACTGAACTCTAAATCTAAGTCTAAATCTAAACTGAGCTGAGGTTATCCCGAGCTTGAATGACACACAGAGACCAATCAAGGGCTTTGATTTATGATCTGTATGACAGTGGCCATGTCGGCAGGCCACATCATGTAGACAGCCAGTCACCCTGTGTGAGGCAGGCCACTTAACAGGCCAGGCCATCGGGAAACCCCCCGGTCCTCCCGATGGCCAGTCCGGGACTGGGTACAGGAGGCGTAGAGTGAGGGATCATTGTCCACAAGTTAACCGATCGCAGATGGCGTCGTGGTCACGGACAAATTAAAAAAAAAAAATTATTAAAAAAAACAAACAAAAAAACCTAAATGGGTCGTGAAATATACTTGGGCGGCCGTTAATATACCTGGGCGGCCTGCCCAAGTATAGTCTATGTGTGGGAAACCCTGTATGTATATACATGTATAAAGGGTTACGTCCTTAGCTGGCTTTGCTATATAACAAGCTAAGCTAACAAGCACACAAACACTTGCTAACGGGGTTAACATGTATAATATTATTATTTTAGACTTCTTGGAAGTTCTGTTAGTACATTCAACTGCACAGCACGACATTTTAATTGTCTGATATTTGTAACAACATTCCCTAAAAAGGCACAATCACCACGAACACGGCTAAAGGGTCAAGTACAGTAACTACAATTAACTAACGTTGTAGCCTAGCAGAGTGGACAAGTTGCTGTTAGCTGACAGTGAGGCACGTACATGTCCATCAAAGTGACCACGCCCTAATTTATGCAAAAACGTTAAGACCTAATATAAATAAAAGGGTCGAGTTATAAAACAATTCACTCAACAATTAATAATCATTAAGGTGGAATCTAACTATATCCCAAATAATTGTATTGCATCCAGGGGTAGAAACATGTTTATTTCTGCTGTAAAGTTGGGCATTTTAACATGGGGGTCTATGGAAATTCATCCTTTCTGCAGTCATCGCTTATCGGCCAATAGATGAACTGCAGTTTGTGGCACTTCCGTATTGGCCTCCCGGCTCTGCCCCAGAGTTTGCCGCTTGGTTTTGATCAATAATAGGGAAATTCATGCAGAAGGAAACACTGATATAGGGCCAGTGAAAGAGTACTAGAATGCTACACTTTAATATATACATCTGAAAATGTAATGTTGTTTGTAGCTTAGCCAAGATTAGATCTGCTAATGCACAATGTGATTTAGATTCAAATTTTCAGTAGGCGACTAATTTACTTCCAATAGAGAAGCTAACTCTGTGTACGCTTTCCAGAGAAACAATGTTATGTCATCCCCTGCAAATCCCTCCCTACCATTATTGTTCTGGGATCTGGGAATCTGTCTCAATGTGATTATGGTTTGTTTACTCGCTGCATAATCTGTAATAACACCTCAGACTTTACCGGGGCAAATGCTTTTCAGTATAATCGCAAGTCATCTCGCTTAGAAACGCAAGCTTGGCACACAGAGATGGGAACACACACACCCACTTGCATTACAATGTGTGAATTGCAATTTTTGTGTTCATATTCTAACCCTTTAGGGAAAAAAGCACCAATAAATATTTGTACTAGATATACAGCAGCTGCAACAGTGTCGTCATGCACTCTGTAATTCTTTGTGTTGTCATGGTATCTTTAACCACATATACAGGGAAAATACAATATTTCCAACATGTCGGTGCAGGCTGGGTGCTAGGTGTCACTGCTCGTCAATAGACAGCCCCTCGCTCACTGCAGTCTGACCCATTACTCAAGACATTAATCATTGTTCCTCATACTGTAACCCTAAGGATTAGTTTGACGTTTTGGGTCACACACACTTATTTGCTTCTCTTGCAGTGTTGGATGAGAAAAATTATTACCACTCTATATGTTTGTAGATTATATAACTGCAGACAGCTGTGCCTCCTGGAACATAACCATACCCAGAACAAAGTGATATTTGTACGGATTAAACACATTTAATATTACATGTAAGTAATATAATGTAGTGAGCTCCAGGGGTGCTTTGGAAAGAGCAAAGCTAGCTGTTTTCTCCTGTTTCCATTCACAGCAGTACCACTGCTGATGTACATGTTATTGTACATCAGCAGTGGTTGAAGTGTTGTATTTACTACATCCAAAGGGTTGAATTATAATTTCAAAGCTTAATACACTTTTTTTAGGGGATAATAATTCCACTGGTTGCCAACAGATGTTGTTTTGTATAGAAGTCTACAAGAAAATGACGATACTTGTTGCTTTGTTTATTACTCAGTGAAACATTTTCTCTATCAATTCATTATGAGGTTATTTTAGTAAGTTATGGCTATTCACCATATTACAATTATTTAAAGTTAAATAAATTACGCTTGAGGGCGTGTCTACCCTTGGATTGACGGGGTCACCACTGTTGGTCATGTTTTTGCCTCGGAACTTTTCTTTTTTTTAAGTTCATGAATGTTAATAGTAACATTTTGGTTACCTTATAATGTTTTGTTCAGCAATGTACTTAGCTCCACCCTCTCGTGTAACTTATTGTTCCAAAAAACACAAATGGTATGATTAAAAAAAACAAGATGACCATTAATCCTGTCGTGATTTGGGAAAAGGTAGGACCCAAGTGCAGTTAAAAAGGGAAGCGGGTTTCAAAACAAAAGCAAGCTTTATTTAAGCAAAGCTGTTGGCATGAAAAAACAAGACAAAAAACGTGAATCGAAAACAGGTAGCATGAGGTAAGTGACTAACATGGAGAGTGAGAAAATACAACAGACCGACATGGACAACAAGTCCTCCAACTCATACGACCAAATGGGTCGATTGTTCAAGCCCTTATTACGACCAAATATGTTGTTTGTTCAAGCGCTTAATACGACTTATAATTACGTTTTAAAGTTGACGGCCTCTAGTGCTCCCGTTGAATGCAAACATTACAGAGGGTTGTTTATTCACAAATAACCCTCTCTGTAAAATCCTAAATTGTAGGATAGTTTGGCCATTAAAACGCTTTATGATTAGATTTCTAGCGAGAAGTATATATTGTACTTTTAGAATCCACGTCATATGTAGGATCTATAGGTTGATAGATATTACGAAGATTATTTGAGGTTACGAAGTTACGGGTTGAAAACAATATTTCCGGTCTCGACGTTTTCATAAAAAAAACAATGATCAAATGATTTAACAGTGATATCTGCAGTACTCATCTACTAAAAAACATCAGTTTATCCTAGTTAATTATACGACATTAATTGGTTTAAATTGTGTACAATGCTTTTGTGTTTTTCCCATAGGTTTTTCTCTTTCGATTCTCAGAGA